TAGTGCCTAAGGCATTTGACTGCTAACCAGAAGGCTGACGGTTCAAACCCACCAGCCACTCCTCAGAAGGAAGGTTGGGCAATCTACTTCCGTAGTGATACTGCTTCGGAAACCCAAGGAGGGGTTACTATGAGTTGGATACGACTCAACGGCAGTGGGTTTGGTTAGGTCCTATCAAGTCAATGCTGACTCATAGTGACCTTATGTACAAAAGAATGAAACTGCCCAGCCCTCCACCATCCTCACAATTGTTGCTATGTTTGAGCCCATTGTTGCAGCCACTGTGTCAACCCATCTCATTGAGGTCTTCCTTTTGTTTCATTGGCCCTCTACCAAGCATGATGTCCAGGAGCTAGTCCCTCATGATAACATGTCCAAAATACAAGGGATGAAGTCTTAACCATCCTTGCTTCTAAGGAGCATTCTGACTGTACTTCTTCCAAGGATGTGTTCATCCTTCTGCCAGTCCGTGGTATAGTCAATACTCTTCACTAACACCATAATTCAAATGCATCAATTCTTCTGGTTCTTCCTTTTTCATTGTCCAGCTTTCACATTCATATGAGGTAACTGAAATTACCATGGTTTGGGTCAGGCACACCTTAGTTCTCAAAGTGACATCTTTGCTTTTTAACACTTTAAAGAGGCCTTTTCAGCAGATTTGCCCAATACAATACATCGTTTGAGATCTTGATGGCTGCTTCCATGGGTGTTGATTATGGATACAAGTAACATGAAAGCCTTGATGATTTAATCTTTTCTCTTAACATGAAAGCCTTGATGATTTAATCTTTTCTCTCTTTATCATGATGTTGCTTATTGTGAGTTGTGAGTTGTGAGTACTTTTGTTTTCTTTATGTTGAAGTGTAATCCATACTGAAGGTTGGAGTCTTTGATTTTCATCAGTAAGTGTTTCAAATATCTTCACTTTCATCATGCAAGGTTGTGTCATCTGCACATATCAAGCAGGTTGCTAATGAGCCTCCCTCCAATCCTGATGGCTCATTCTTCCTCAGAGAGTCCAGCTTCTTGGATAATTTGCTCAGCATACAGATTGATAAGGATGGTGAGAGCATGCAGTCCTGACACATATCTTTCCTAATGGCATCCTCTTGTTCTGTATTGAACAAACTGAGTCTTGGTCTTAAAGGATAGTAAGGTAAGTGAGATTAAAAACTAAACAGAAAGAGATTTTCAAGAACAACATCATCGGGATCAATATCTGTGAATCTTATCTATCCAGATGGCTTCTGTCCTGCACTCTGCAGCCCTAAATTGGGAGCTAACTGCACAGATTTTGTACAAGTCTAAACCATGTTATGAGCTGTACAGTAGTCATGTTATATCCATTTATCTTACCTGTTAGCAGCAAACTTGTTTGAAATGAAACCACCTGGAATCTGAGTCATAATATAACCCCAGAAAAAAGATCCATGGATAAGGCCCACCGTCTCTGGATCCCAATTAAACTGTGCTATCTGGAAATAAATTAAAAAAAAAAAATTAAAAACCTTTACCACCAGTTTTTGCTGATGATTCTACATAATACACCACCAGGTCCTTCTTTCCTTCCTTTATTCAGCAAGTACTTATGGAAGGCCCACCACCCTTCTGTCAGTTTGTCATACTGTGGTTGCTTGCATTTTGCTATGATGCTGGGAGTTTTGCCACCAGTATTTCAAATACAAGCAGGGTCACCCATGGTGGACAGGTTTCAGCAGAGCTTCCAGAATGAAACAGACTAGAAAAAAGTCCTGGATATCCACTTCCAGAAACCATCAATTCATGGATCACAACAGAATATTGTCTGACGCAAGATGAGCTCCCAAGCTGGGAAGGCACTACACAGTATCCACAACAATGGACTCAAACCTACCAACAACCATGAAGATGACGGCACTGGAGCAAGCAATGCTTCGTTCTGATATATAGAAGGTCGCCATATCGGCATCTCAGACAAATGCCTGGGAACTAATTACAATAACACTGTGTGCTGGGGATGCAGCAATGAACAAAGCTAAGTCCTTGTCCTCATGAAGCTTCCATTCTAGTAGAGCTATGTTAAAATTCAAAAAACAGATATTTGGTACAGCAGACAGTGATGAGTGCATAGGAGAAAAACCATATATACAGAAAACAGAAAAAAAATAAGTTCTAGGTTTACTAGGTTATTCAGATACCACTTTAGTCAAAAAGCACAAAGGGAATTGAGTCTAAAGTCTCTCATTTCTTAGTGAGGATAGTGAAATTTATCCTACTTACCCCAGGATAAGGAAGTCTAGTGGTGCAATGGCTAAGGCATTCAGCAGCTAACCAAAAACATACTATACAGACCCACCAGCTGCTCCACAAGAGAAAGATGGGGCAGTTTGCTTTGGTAAAGATTTACAGCCTTGGAAACCCTACGGGGCAGTTCTACTCTGTCCTATAGTGTCATTATGAGTTGGTATGCACTCGGTGACAGTGGGTTGGATTTTGGTTTACCCACGGGATATGCGAGGATAAAACAACATGAATATTTCTAGTAGATGATTCCTCTGCTTCAAGATTTTGCATGTAACCTATTATCATATCAATGAATGTTAGCAGCCATTATTGTTATTGTTAGGATAACAACACTCTTCCACAAATCTTGGGCCATTGAAAATGTGATTCTCTATGCAGAAGTCCCATTCTTGCCCCAGCAAGGTAACTTTTTCTCTTAATATTCACTGCACTTGCACTTCCTTCTTCTGAGGAACTTTCCCAAATTTCCCCAAATTGACCTGGTTACCCTTTCTTGGGCTTGTCCTACTGACAAGCCATTCTTATGTCTACAGCATGCATGGTGCTGCTAACAAACTAGCTATTCATGTGGCCATTTCCCACACTGGATGGCCAGCAACTCTAAGGTAGGAGCCATGTCTTGTTTTCCTATATAGGTAGCTGAAAGAAATGGCTGGGAACATAGAAAGTGCAAGGAAATATTTGCTGCATGAATAAATAAATGAATGGATTTTAAAAGGATTGATATGAAAACATAAGGCGTTTCTATTATGGAGTAAAATTTTCTAATTATCAGTATAGCATGTTGTATGAACCTTAATCACAGTGATTTTCCTGACACAAACTGTTAATTATTTGCTCACTTATTCTGTGTTCACCAAGTGTCTCCGGAGTGCCAGATCAGGAACTAAGCAGTGTAAATATGAAGTCACATGAGAAATCATTCTTGTTCTAGATCACAATCCAGGTAATACTGACTAGGACTCTACTGTATTTCCTATTTTATGGATTAGGAAGATGAAGCTCAAGATAAAAGGAAACTCATAATCATTCATTCAAAACCAGTTTGGTAATTTTCATGTAGTGTTCATTATGTGCTGCACATCATTCTGTTCTTGTTAGGTGCCATCGAGTCAGTGCACATATAGTGACCATATGTACAACAGAGTGAAACACTGCCTAGGCCTGCACCATCCTGACTATCCTTGCTGTGCTTGAGCTCTTTGTTGCAGCCACTGTGTCCATCCATCTTGTTTAAGGGGCTTCTCCTTTTTCACTGATCCTCCACTTTACCTGGCATAATATCCTTCTCCAGGGACTAGTCCCTTCTGACAACATGATCAAAGTATGAGATATGAAGTCTGGCCATTCTTGCTTCTAAAGAACACTTTCTGACTGTACTTCCTGCAAGACAGATGTGTTCCTTCTTCTACCAGTCCACTGTATTTTCTGTAATCTTCACCAACACCACAATTCAAAAGCATCGATTCTTCTGCAGTCTTCCTTGCTCACTGTCCAGCTCTCACATCATATGAAACTATTGAAAATACCAAGGCTTGGCTCAGACACACTTTAGTCTTCAAAGTGGCATCTTTGCTCTTTAACACTTTAAAGAGGTCCTTCACAGCAGATTTGTCCAAAGCATTATGTCATTTAATTTCTTGACTACTGCTTCCAAGAACATTGATTATGGATCCAAGTAAAATGAAACCTTTGACAACTGCAGTCTTTTCTCCATTTATCAAAATATTGCTTATCGGTCCAGTTGTGAGAATTTTTGTTTTCTTTACGTTGAGGTGTAATCTATACTGAAGGCTGTAATCACTGATCTTCACCAGTAAGTGCTTCAAGTCTTCTTCACTTTCAGCAAGCAAGGCTGTGTCATCTGTGTATCACAGGTTGTTAATGAATCTTCTTCCTATCCAGATATCGTGATTTTCTTTATATAATCTGGCTTCTCAGATGTTTATCTGCTCAGCATACAGACTAAATAAGTATGGTGAAAGGATACAACCCTGACACACACCTTTCCTGATTTCAAACCACGCAGAATCCCCTTGTTCTGTGTGAATGACAGACTCCTGGTTTATGTACAGGTTCCTCATGAGCACAATTAAGTGTTCTGAAATTCCCATTCTTCACAATATTATTCATAATTTGTTATGATCCATACAGCCTTTGCATAGTCAATAAAACACAAGTAAACATCTTTGTGGTATTCTTTACTTTCAGCCAAGATCCATCTGACATCAGCAATGATATCCGCTTTTCCATGTCCTCTTCTGAATCCAGCTTGAATTTTTGGCAGCTCCCTATCAATGTACTGTTGTAACTGTTTTTGAATTATCTTCATCAAAATCTTACTTTTGTATAATACTAATGATATTGTTCAATAATTTCCACATTCTGTGGGAATCACCGTTCTTTGGAATGTGCACAAATATGAATCTCTTCCAGTCAATTGGCCAGGTCTTCCAAATTTTTTGACATAAACAAGTAAGCATGTCTAGTATTGCATCCATTTGTTGAAACATCTCAAAGGGTGTTCCATCAATTCCTGGAGCTTTATTTTTTGCCAATTCCTCAGTGCAGCTTGGATTTCTTCCTTCAATACCATTTCTTGATCATTTGCTACCTCTTGAAAAGGTTGAACAACAACCAGTTCTTTTTGATACAATGACTCTGTGTGTTCCTTCTACTTTTGATGCTTCCTATATTGCTCACTATCTTGCCATTAGACTCCTTCAATATTTCAACTTGAAGCTTTTTGTTGTTGTTAGGTGCCATCGAGTCGTCTCTGACTCATAGTGACCTTATGGACAACAGAACGAAACACTGCCTGGTCCTGTGCCAGCCCCATGATCCTTGCTATACCTGAGCCCATCATTGCAGCCACTGTATCTATCCATCTTGTTGAGGGCCTTCTCCTTTTTTGTTCTCCTTCCACTTTCCCAAGCATGATATCTTTCTCCAGGGAATGGTCCCTTCTTACAACATGACCAAAGTAGGTAAGACGAACTTGGGCCATTCTCACTTCCAAGGAGCATTCTGGCTGCACTTCTTCCTGGACAGTATTGTTAGTTTTTTTAGCAGTCCATAGTACTTTCAGCATTTTTCGCTAACACCACAATTCAAAATTCAAAAACATCGACTCTTCTTTGGCCTTTCTTATTCATTATCTAGCTCTCACATGCATATGAGGAGATTAAAAATACCATGGCTTGTGTCAAGCGCACCTTAGTCTTCAAGGAAACATCTTTGCTCTTCAGCACTTGAAAGAGGTCTTTTGCAGTAGATTTGTCCAATGCTATACGACGTCTGATAGCTTGACCGTTTCCATTGGTGTTGATTGTAGAACCAAATAATATGAAGTATTTCACAACTTCAATCTTCTCTCCATTTATCATGATGCTGCTTATTGGTCCTGTTGTGAGGATTTTTGTTTTCTTTATATTGAGATGTAATCCATACTGCAGACTGTAGTCTTCAATCTTCATCAGTAAGTGCTTCAAGTCCTCCTCACTTTCAGCAAGCAAAGTTGTGTCATCTGCATAATGCAGTTCTTAATGAATCTTCCTCCAGTCCTGATGCCACAGTCTTCTTCATTCTTCTCAGATTATTTGCTCAGCAAATAATTGAATAAGTATGGTGAAAGGATACAGCCCTTCTTGATTTTAAACCATGCAGTATCCCCTTGTTCTGCTCAAATGACAGCCTCCTGGTCTATGTACAAGTTTCTCATGAGCACAATTAAGTGTTCCAGAATTCCCATCCTTCTCAATGTTACCCATAATTTGTTATGATCCCACACAATTGAATGCATTTGCATAGTCAATAAAACACAAGTAAACAATTTTCTGGTACTCTTTGCTCTGAGGCAAGATCCATCTGACATCAGCAATGATATCCCTCATTCCACATCCTCTTCTGAATCCAGCTTGCATTTCTAGAAGCTCTCTGTCAATGTACTGCTGCAACCATTTTTGAATTATCTTCAGTAAGATTTTACTTGTGTGTGATATTAATTATATTGTTCAATAATTTTCACATTCTGTGGGATCACCTTTCTTTGGAATAGGTACAAATACCAATCTTTTCCAGTCAGTTGGCAAGGTAGTTGTCTTCCAAATACCTTGGCATAGCCAAGAGTGAGTGCCTCTAGTGCAGCATCCATTTGTTGAAACATCTCAGTAGGTATCCCGTCAATTCCTGG